TCAAACGAGTGCTTGGTGTGTTGTGTCGTAAACATTGGGAGGCATTGGCGCCATCTGTCGGTAGCAGTAATTCAATAAAACAAATTGCAAGTGTACACATTTCTAAGATCGAAGGGAATTTTTTCACTTCCCATCGGCCGCAAGCGGAAGTGCGCGTTTCTTACGGTGCGAGAGCCACGAGAAAATCTGTCGGTCCTCGATTTCTGCCGGTCAGGACAGAACGACGATTTAACTATTTTTATGACACTTTTATTTAACTCACTCCGTGTGTTGTCGTATCCTCAAAAATTCTTGTCACTCAATTGTTTACCAACTTCCCAATGTGCTATCGACTGCAAGCTTGGTATAGGTTTGTCATACTGATGACAAGACGATATTCTATCATTAAAAATGTAAAATATATATTTTTAAACATTTTACACGCTTTCATTTAACTCACTCTGTCTGTGTTGTCGTATCCTCAAATCTTGTAACTCAATTTCAACCGTCTTCCCAATGTCCTATCGACTGCCAACTTGGTATAGGTGTGTCATACTGATGACAATACGATATTCTATCATTAAAATTAAAAAATATATCTTTTGAAACAATATTTTTTACAGCTCTAATTGTCCACGCTCATCTCACGTTGTCTGTAAATCACCACATGGTCCCTTACGTCACGGCAAGCCTCTGGGAGCCACGCCCAGGGGCGGGGCATGTGAAAGGAGGGGAGGGGCGATGGGGGAAGGGGGCAGAGGGAGGGGCAGCTCGGACAGTACATTCATTAAAGCGTGTTTTTTTTAAAAGCATTTTTAAATATTTATATTTTATAGTCAAGGTCAGGGCCCAATGAGCTGCTATACAACTCTTTTTCAGAAGCAACCCGGCCTCAAATGATAGCTCAACCACAAAGTGGCTTATAGCAGCAAACAAAGACTCTAAACGCGTGGTGATGTTGATTCTAAACGTGGAGGGGAAAGACCGGAGGACCCACACGACCACGGGGAGAGACACGTAGACTCCAAATATACAGCAGCAGGCGTCGTCAGGGCCGGGATAGAACCCACAACCTCCAGTAGACCAGGCGAGGTAGTTAACATCTTAGGACAAACTACTACTAATTAACTAAGGCCCACCGAGCGGCAATATATTGCTTATTCAGAAGCGAACTGGCCACAAACAACAGATCAACAACGCAGTGGCTTGTGTGGAAATTTATAGAAGCAGCCAAATAATCTAAACGCGTAGAGATGCCGATTTCAAATGTGGAGTGGAAATCCACGCGACCACGGGGAGAGACTCACAGACTCCAAATATATAGTCATTAGGGTCATGATTGAACCCAAGATTTCCTGCATACCAGGCGAGGTAGTTAACATCTCCTAGCCACCGTGATGATGATGAGAGAGACACGCAAACTCCAAATATACAGCAGCAGGCATTCGTCAGGGTCGGGATCAAACCCAAAACCTCCTGCATACCAGGCGAGGTAATCAAAATCTCCTCGCTACCGTGGTGATGATGAGAGAGACGCAAACTCCAAATATACGGCAGACGTCAGGGTCTGGATCGAACCCATGACCTCCTGTACATGAGGCGAGGTAGTTAACATCTCCTAGCCACCGTGATGATGATGATGAGAGACGCAAACTCCAAATATACAGCAGCAGGCGTCAGGGTCGGCATAAACCCCACGACCTCCTGCATACCAAGCGAGGTAGTTAACTTCTCCGAGTCACCGTGGTGAGGTAAAGACGACCAACATTAACTCGCACACCCAGAACTAATAACCCCAGAGCTGGAATTTTGCCAAAATGGAAGAAAAAAAACACTTTCAGTTGGTGTCTGTGCAGTGATTGGTGACCAGGTTGAGTGAGGGTCGCATTCTCAGCTATGGCTTGGCTCCCGCGGTATCATTACGGTTATGTACGTATGCATGTTCGTTTGTACCGTACGTAGCCAACCACGCTGATCGGAGGTGCGGGGGAAGGATAACAAACTAACACACAAAAAGCAGTTCTTAAAGAACGGCGTTCGACAATCTAGATGATGATTTAAAAGTGCATCACAGCTCCAAGGGAGAGGGGCGTTCCACTGGCCAAAGCAGGTCACAAGACTCATCATCATCGTGCTACAACTGGACGTTTGGCCAACTCCATTAGTTGGAGCACACCAGATAAATAAAAGAACCTGCCATGGGTACGACGCCCCAAACTCCGCGCGGATGGGACACGAGAATCCCCCCAAATCGCTTTAACTGGCTCCCATCCACGTGGCCGAGCCTACGGAGAGCTGCTGGAACTCCACGGACGGCTTTCCGCTGCCAGTAAGTCGGCGCCAGATGCAGCAAATTTGAGATCATTGGCCGAGATGAGCCGGCCACAGCCAATGGGGTTGTCGGCCCAAGCGAGCACTCGGGCGATTGCCGTGCGACTTGACGAACTGACGCACAGGCGGACGGACCACACAGACGGACAGGCGGTGGTGGTGGCGGTAACGTGGGACAGGCAATGGTGGTGACGTGGGGCAGGTGGTGGTGGTGGTAACGTGGGGCAGGTGGTGGTGGTGGTGGTGGTGTGGGGCAGGTGGTGGTGGTGATGGTGACGTGGGGCAGGTGGTGGTGGTGGTGACGTGGGGCAGGTGGTGGTGGTGGTGACGTGGGGCAGGTGGTGGTGGTGGTGGTGACGTGGGGCAGGTGGTGGTGGTGGTGACGTGGGACAGGTGGTGGTGGTGGTGGTGGTGACGTGGGGCAAGTGGTGGTGGTGGTGACGTGGGGCAGGTGGTGGTGGTGGTGGTGGTGACGTGGGGCAGGTGGTGGTGGTGGTGGTGACGTGGGGCAGGTGGTGGTGGTGGTGGTGACGTGGGGCAGGTGGTGGTGGTGGTGACGTGGGGCAGGTGGTGGTGGTGGTGACGTGGGGCAGGTGGTGGTGGTGGTGGTGACGTGGGGCAGGTGGTGGTGGTGGTGACGTGGGGCAGGTGGTGGTGGTGGTGACGTGGGACAGGTGGTGGTGGTGGTGGTGACGTGGGACAGGTGGTGGTGGTGGTGGTGACGTGGGACAGGTGGTGGTGGTGGTGAACGTGGGGCAGGTGGTGGTGGTGGTGGTGACGTGGGACAGGTGGTGTGGTGACGTGGGGCAGGTGGTGGTGGTGACGTGGGACAGGTGGTGGTGGTGGTGGTGACGTGGGGACAGGTGGTGGTGGTGGTGGTGACGTGGGGCAGGTGGTGGTGGTGACTTGGGGCAGGTGGTGGTGGTGGTGGTGGTGACGTGGGGCAGGTGGTGGTGGTGGTGGTGACGTGGGGCAGGTGGTGGTGGTGACGTGGGGCAGGTGGTGGTGGTGGTGACGTGGGGCAGGTGGTGGTGGTGACGTGGGGCAGGTGGTGGTGGTGGTGGTGACGTGGGGCAGGTGGTGGTGGTGGTGACGTGGGGCAGGTGGTGGTGGTGACGTGGGGCAGGTGGTGGTGGTGGTGGTGACGTGGGGCAGGTGGTGGTGGTGGTGACGTGGGGCAGGTGGTGGTGGTGACGTGGGGCAGGTGGTGGTGGTGGTGACGTGGGGCAGGTGGTGGTGGTGACGTGGGGCAGGTGGTGGTGGTGGTGGGGTGACGTGGGGCAGGTGGTGGTGGTGGTGACGTGGGGCAGGTGGTGGTGACGTGGGGCAGGTGGGGCAGGTGGTGGTGGTGGTGGTGACGTGGGGCAGGTGGGGCAGGTGGTGGTGGTGGTGGTGACGTGGGGCAGGTGGTGGTGGTGACGTGGGGCAGGTGGTGGTGGTGGTGACGTGGGGGCAGGTGGTGGTGGTGGTGACGTGGGGCAGGTGGTGGTGGTGGTGGTGACGTGGGGCAGGTGGTGTGGTGGTGGTGACGTGGGGCAGGTGGTGGTGGTGGTGACGTGGGGCAGGTGGTGGGTGGTGACGTGGGGCAGGTGTGGTGGTGGTGACGTGGGGCAGGTGGTGGTGGTGACGTGGGGCAGGTGGTGGTGGTGACGTGGGGCAGGTGGTGGTGGTGGTAACGTGGGGCAGGTGTGGTGGTGGTAACGTGGGGCAGGTGGTGGTGGTGGTGACGTGGGGCAGGTGGTGGTGGTGGTGACGTGGGGCAGGTGGTGGTGGTGGTGACGTGGGGCAGGTGGTGGTGGTGACGTGGGGCAGGTGGTGGTGGTGACGTGGGGCAGGTGGTGGTGGTGACGTGGGGCAGGTGGTGGTGGTGACGTGGGGCAGGTGGTGGTGGTGGTGGTGACGTGGGGCAGGTGGTGGTGGTGGTGGTGACGTGGGGCAGGTGTGGTGGTGGTGGTGACGTGGGGCAGGTGGTGGTGGTGACGTGGGGCAGGTGGTGGTGGTGACGTGGGGCAGGTGGTGGTGGTGGTGGTGACGTGGGGCAGGTGGTGGTGGTGACGTGGGGCAGGTGGTGGTGGTGGTGACGTGGGGCAGGTGGTGGTGGTGGTGGTGGTGACGTGGGGCAGGTGGTGGTGGTGACGTGGGGCAGGTGGTGGTGGTGGTGACGTGGGACAGGTGGTGGTGGTGACGTGTTGCAGATGTTCACGGTTCAAGCCCCACAGCTGCCCTGGTTAACACTGCTGCGAGTATTTACTAAGCTCAACATACACACATCCTACACTATACACTACTACACACTGCACTACACCATACCACACTACACACTACATTACAATCCACTACACTATACACTACACCACTTTACTAAATTGAAAACTCATTCTTTATAACTGTCTGTTGTGTTTCGTTTGTTGTCCCCCGCACCACCAATGAGCACGGTTGGCTACGCAAGGTGCAATAGAAGCTCAACGCACAAACATACTACACGACACTCTACTAGACAATACACTACAATATACACTACACAATACATGACATTATACACTAAACTACACTCCACCAAATTGAAAACTAATTTTTTTAGAACTGCAGACGCAGACTGAAGGCGGTGGCCGTGTGGGCGGCCGTGTGGGCGGTCGTGTGGGCGGCTCCCAGCGGCAGCGCCCATCACTGTGACGCCGACGACGACGTACCGGGGTCCTTGGCCTTGTCCATGCCGACGCTGAGCGGCGGAGGCGGCGGCTGCATGCCGTGGACGCCCGCCGACATGGGGCTCTCCTTGCCCATCTGGGCCACGCAGGGGGCGCCCGGCCCGGGCCCAGGGCCCTTGGGCATGCTGGGCATGGGGTCGGCCTGGGGGCTCTCCAGCCCATCTGCGGTGGGGGTCAGCGGAGGGGGAGGGGTGGTGGTGGTGGTGCAGGGAGGTGGGAGGCACACGAAGATGGGTTGAAGGAGTGGCCCGGGGGGAATGTGGAGGTGGCACAGATGCGAGCGGAGTGGGTACGGAGATGGGGCGGTTGTACGAAGAGGGCGTGGCACGGGGAAACGTGGAGGTGGGAGCATGGAAAAGCGGTGGTGGTGGCGCAGGTGGGTGGTTGGCACAGGCAGGAGGAGGTCGCGATGGGGGCACAGGGCAAGCGGCGTGGACATCAAACGGTGGGCGGTGGCATCACGAGAAGGGGTGTGCGGGGAAGGGCAGGCGGTGGCCACAAAGGAGGATGGGCGACACACACGTGGGTCGGGTGGCACAGAGGTGGGCGGGTGGTGGTCGTGGTGGTGGCACGAGTAGGAATGGGGTGGCACGGGGAGATGAGATGTTGGCGTGGGGAGGTATTGAGACACGGGAGGTTGGGGACGGCACAAACACAGGGTGGCACACGGGCGGATGGGTGATGGTGGTATGGTACGAGTAGGAATGGGGTGGCATAGGGGAGGGGATGGGGGTGGGGGAGAGATACGAGAGGTTAAGAAAACATTTCAATTACACGGGGGGGGGGGAGGGGGGGGGGGACCTAACTGGTTGTCCAGCGTGGTGGTAAAGTACGATTCAATAACTCCCCACCCCCCTAGACTCGCATGACAGGACAAGGCCCTCATCCAGCAGTGGACTAACCAAGGACGCCAAACACAAAAGGAGGCACAGGGGAGGTTTGTTATGAGAATATTTATTTAGAATCCGAATATTTATATCCTGCAGGAATCTGGAGAGCTATTAACCTCTTCCCCCCCCCCCCCGCCCCCACAGATCCCCAGTGCAACGTATAATCTCCTGAAGCCTCGCAGAGTCTCAAAGGCTGCCCCCCTATCGGGGGTTCTTGCCGCGGCAGAAGAACTCCGGCTGGCGAGGTCTGTTTCTCACCAAAGGCGGGAAAAAATAACGGCCACCAAGTGGCGGCTGTTTTTTGACATCGGTCGGATTTCGCTGGAAACATTTGGCTGGCAAAGATCAAATCTTTACGTTTTGAGTTGGCTAAAGACTCGCCCCTCTGTGAAGCACAAGAATATGGGTAAAGCGTAAGGATTGACACGTGCGCTTATACATCCCTCAAGCCCCTCTCGCGAAGGTTCCTTGAGCTTCCGCATTGCCTCCAGCCAATCACCTTCCCACTTCTAACGAATGCCAACAGTCCACCCTGTCAATCATCCTCCATTTCCCCGCTTTTTCCATTTTGTATTTCTCCTCCAATCCCTTCAATTCCCTGCAAACCACTAAATCCCCTTTCAGGCCTGTTAAGTAACCAATCGGAGGGCTTGTTTTTACTTCCCGATTATCCGTGTCACGCGGTAACCACCAGGTGATTTGAGTATCGTTGGTAGCGGGACAATTTCTACGATCTCTCAATCAGCTCACGCCTTCAGTAAACCACCTGACTCCTGTGGGTCGGGATCGACCCCACGACCTCGCCAAAACCCCGACCCCCACCCCCCTCCCGCCACCCCCACTATCCAACCAGCCGTGTAAATGAGTTCACCACACGGTTGGTCCACGTTTTTGTCCAAAACTTCGTGGGAAGAAATACCCGCTCGGTAGTGTGGCTAGGAGATGTTGACTACCTCGCCTGGTATACAGGAGGTTGCGAGTTCAATCCCGACCCCGACGCCTGCTGCTGTATATTTGGAGTTTGCGTGTCTCTCTCTCTCATCATTATCATCACGGTGGCTAGGAGATGTTGACTACCTCGCCTGGTATACAGGAGGTTGCGAGTTCGATCCCGACCCTGACGCCTGCTGCTGTATATTTGGAGTTTGCGTCTCTCTCTCTCGCCGTGGTCGCGTGGATTTTTCTCCCGGTCCTCCGTTTTTTCTCTCTCCATAATTACAATCAACATCACACGTTTAGAGCAGTGGTTCTTAACCTGGACTGCGAGATGCCTTTCCTGAGAACCAAAGCGGTGCAAGGCTGGAGAAACGGTTAAGAACCACCGGTTTAGAACTTTTTGCCGCAATAAATGTCCACGTGAGAAGCCAACTTCGTTGACCTATCATTTGTGCTGGCCTGGGCAGGGCTTCTGCACAAGAGCTGTACATCTCAGTGGGCCTTGCCTCGTTAAATAGAAAATAGTTTAAACAGTTTGAGTTTCGAGCGGAGAGCCTTCGGCCGCCAGTGGAGCGGGCGAGCACTCTGCGCCCGTGCCCCCTTCGAGCCGCCGCTGCTTTATTGTTCGCATTCATCGCGCCGTTTGCAAAGTGGAGGAGGGGGTAGTGGAGGTGTCATGACTTTCTCAAAAGCGGAGAACGAACATCTGGAACTGGGGGAAGGAGACAATAAAGCGAGGGGCGCCGATGGGCCGCAACCGACGACGGCGTTGACGGTCGGGCGCGTAACGCTGTCGCGGCGCTTTGCCGAAAATTCATCTCTCTCTCTCGCAGTGGTGGCCGTGTGATGCGCAAAGCACGGAGCCGCACGCACATCGAGGTGTTCACGGCCAAACTGGCGAGCGTGTTCACACATTCGCGGCAGGAGAACCGGAGCACTCGAAGGCAGGCCCCAGGTGTGCGAGGGGGCAACGTTCTATCCCAAACAGATGGGACAGATGATAAATCGGACAGCTTTAACCTCCAAGTAGTACGACTGTGCACTGACTCTGCCCATTACCACACACACACATCAGACTGTGTACTGACTCTGCACCTACCATACACACACTCCAAAGAAGACAAAGATCCCCCGTATAGCCTTAACAGACTGTAGGGACAAGTGCTGTTAGCGAGCACCTATGAAGGCCGGCACGACAAACGAGGGGGTGGGTGGCCAGCACCACGCCCGGCCGCCTTTGTCTCCCCAGTGGCGATGTTTACACACCGCACCAGGTACTCAATTTGAGGCTGAGTCTACCTCACGGAGGCCCGTGACCGCTTCAGATAATCGTCACTGGTGTTGGCCGTGAGTGGGAATCGAACTCGGGTGATCGGTTTCGTAGCGCAACGTGCTAACTGCTACACCACCGCTCCCCACACACTCACACACCTACACACACACTCACTCACACACACACCTACACAACCACCACGACTACTGCTGCTACTATTAATCACGATATACCCCGCTGCTCAATCAAGTCACTTCATTCCCTTCACACTTGTATCTCTTTCGCCCCACACAAGCACGAATAGTACCGACTGTGAATACGTCTTGACTACATTATATTGGTCTCACCATTATTTTTAAATATACAGTAAACCCTGGTTAATGCGACACACATGGGGCTCTGGCCTGGCCGAATTATCCAATATTCCGAATTATCTACAACGGTGACTCCCCAGCGCCTCCTGCCCCAATAAAAAAAAAATCCAAACTTGTTTTCCAAACTCTTCACACACCGTATGCATTGACAAACACCGTGCAAAAATTCTATCCAAAATTTTGGATTTGTCTCGCACACACCGATTACTTCTTGATGTCGGTGTAGACGGAATTTCTGAGACTGTTGGCTTGCACAGAGTGCACAAACAAGGTAGTAAAGTCCAAATCGACGGATATAGGCCGAAAGCGCGCCCGTGCCAAAGAATCCCCAATTACGAATCATCAAATCCCAAAATAACGTGGTTTTACTGGATAAAGTGTTCTTCTTTGTGACTTTCTTACGGATGGTTATTGACGGAAGTAGTAATCTATTACTTTGGTCAAGATTGTTTTGTGAAGCTGCTGCGCTGTTCAAGAGGAGGAGTGGAAGCTGGCCGGCATCGCCCCCACTCGGTTCAGTGAGAATTCGCAACGAATGGCGTCAACAACCAACATCACCACAACCATCACCACCACAACCATCACCACCACCACCATCACCACAACCATCACCACCACCACCATCACCACAACCATCACCACCACCACCATCACCACAACCATCATCACCACAACCAACATCGACCATTGATCTCTACCGGTCGCCAGAGCAACAACAACAACGCACACACACACACACCACCACCATCACCACTACCCATCACCACCAACATCAATCATCAATCTCTACCGATCTCCAGTGCAACAACGATGCACACACACACGCACTACCAAATCCACCACCACCATCCATCATTGATCTCTACCGGTCTCCAGAGCAGCAGCAACAACAACGCACACACACACACACTACCACCATCACCACAACCAACATCCATCATCGATCTCTACCGTCCTCCAGAGCAACAACAACGCTAATCCACGCCAACGTCCCTCTTCAGAGTCAAACAACGTGCCAGACTGGTCCTGGGACAAGGATCCTCCAAATGAACATTGACGGAATCTTGCGGCCGGAGTAGACACGCGCTTGACTACCCGACTGTGACAATTGTAGTCGTTGCTCCGCATCTACTGCATCAGCAGCCGTACAGAAGAGACTCATAGGTAGCCATAGAGATCCAGACTGAGACGCACAGAGACTCAGAGACCCATAGAGACTCACAGAGACCCATAGAGACTCACAGAGACCCATAGAGACTCAGAGAATCCGAGACTCAGACCCAGAGACTCACAGAGACTCAGAGACCCATAGAGACTCACAGAGACCCATAGAGATGCGCAGACACCCACAGAGATACAGAGACCCATAGAGACTCACAGAGAATCAGAGACTCAAAGACCCATAGAGACTCACAGAGAATCAGAGACTCAGAGACCCATAGAGACTCAGAGACTCAGAGACCCATAGAGACTCACAGAGAATCAGAGACTCAGAGACCCATAGAGACTCACAGAGAATCAGAGACTCAGAGACCCATAGAGACTCACAGAGAATCAGAGACTCAGAGACCCATAGAGACTCACAGAGAATCAAAGACTCAGAGACCCATAGAGACTCACAGAGAATCAGAGACTCAGAGACCCATAGAGACTCACAGAGAATCAGAGACTCAAAGACCCATAGAGACTCACAGAGAATCAGAGACCCAGAGACTCACAGAGAATCAGAGACTCAGAGACCCAGAGACTCACAGAGAATCAGAGACTCAGAGACCCAGAGACTCACAGAGAATCAGAGACTCAGAGACCCAGAGACTCACAAAGAATCAGAGACTCAGAGACCCAGAGACTCACAGAGAAGTTGTTTGAGAGGAGAGCCTTGCGAGTGAGCGTCATCGCTGTACCGTGTTACACTTCGCTGTATCCTGTGCATCTAAATAAATAAAGACTTCAATCTGTGTCTCAAACCCCTCTAGGGTACTTCCAGACAAGGTTGAAAGCTGAAATTTGGTACCCAGGGAGCTTTTAGGACACAAACAACAGGGCGAGAAATCTGAGATTTTTCATTTTAAAGGCCCCCAAATATCGATGTTTGAGTGCCCCATAAACACGATTGTGCCTGGTGTCATTCAGAAACCGTTCAAAATATAAGAGTGCGTTTTTTTTCGTTTGCTAGAGCATTAGACGGCACATAAACTAAAGGGGGAACTGGTTGGGTTCTATCTTTTATTGTTGGAGATATTTCAGATTCAAACGGTTTTGAACGGAAAAAATCTGCATTTTATGACCCCTAAATATGAAATCGAAAACGCGAAAAAAAGTTAGCAGAGCTTCCCCTTCTAGAGACTATGAAGTTAAATTAATTTTTAGTATTTCTAATCAAAAAAAAGAACGAAATCTTTAAATCGAGCGCCTTCCAATGGATGTACGTCTTTAAATGGAGGAAGTTGAATCAAAGTCGTCGACAATCTTTGCAGGGATTTTTGGAATAGTCGTCACTTGTCTGATCGCTGGGTTGGGAGGGTGGGGAGGGGCTGGGTGGGGAGGGTGGGGTTGGGCTGGGTGGAGAGGGGAGGGTGGGGAGGGGCTGGGTGGGGAGGGGCTGGGTTGGGGAGGGTGGGGTTGGGCTGGGTGGAGAGGGGCTGGGTGGGGAGGGGCTGGGTGGGGAGGGGCTGGGTGGGGAGGGGCTGGGTGGGGAGGGGCTGGGTTGGGGAGGGGCTGGGTGGGGAGGGCTGGGCTGGGTGGGGAGGGCTGGGCTGGGTGGAGAGGGGAGGGTGGGGAGGGGCTGGGTGGGGAGGGGAGGGGCTGGGTGGGGAGGGGCTGGGTGGGGAGGGGCTGGGTTGGGGAGGGGCTGGGTGGGGAGGGCTGGGCTGGGTGGGGAGGGCTGGGCTGGGTGGAGAGGGGAGGGTGGGGAGGGGCTGGGTGGGGAGGGGCTGGGTGGGGAGGGAGGGGCTGGGTGGGGAGGGGCTGGGTGGGGAGGGTGGGGCTGGGTGGGGAGGGGCTGGTCACCCCGTGGTGCCCTTACACAACTCAACGTTTAACCTACTCACGCCGGCTTGTGCCGCCCTCACAGTCGGGCATATTTGCGGAATACACCACGCCGCCGTTGACCCTGCAGGCCATTGACCGAGCAACCCGACGTTCCTACCAGCTCCCTCCACAGAAATGTGTTTATCATCAGGTATCACGACACACCACCCCGACGCCGCCGCCGCCGTACTCACAGGGGTTCCACTCCTTGGTGACGCGCCCGCTGCGCGCCCAGATCTCCCGCCACATGTGGTAGAGGTTGTGGTTGCGCGCCGCCTCGCGGAGAGCCGTCGGGTCGTCCGGCAGGAACTGCGCCGCCGCCGCCTGGAATTCGTCCATTGTCGCCCTCGCGAGGACGGGCACTGGCGGAGAGGTTGGGAGGAAGGAGGGATGTCGTACGTTACGTATGTATGTGCGTTACGTATGTATGTACGTTACGTATGTATGTACGTTACGTATGTATGTACGTTACGTATGTATTACGTTACGTATGTATGTGCGTTACGTATGTACGTGCGTTACGTATGTACGTGCGTTACGTATGTACGTGCGTTACGTATGTACGTGCGTTACGTATGTACGTACGTTACGTATGTACGTACGTTACGTATGTACGTACGTTACGTATGTACGTTACGTATGTATGTACGTTACGTATGTATGTGCGTTACGTATGTATGTACGTTACGTATGTATGTGCACATACCGTATATATGTACGTTACGTATGTATGTACGTTACGTATGTATGTACGTTACGTATGTATGTACGTTACGTATGTATGTGCACATACCGTATATATGTACGTTACGTATGTATGTACGTTACGTATGTATGTGCGTTACGTATGTATGTACGTTACGTATGTATGTACGTTACGTATGTATGTGCACATACAGTATGTATGTACGTTACGTATGTATGTACATAACGCACGTATGTACACATACCGTATGTATGTACGTTACGTATGTATGTACGTTACGTATGTATGTACGTTACGTATGTACGTTACGTATGTATGTACATTACGTATGTATGTACGTTACGTATGTATGTACGTTACGTATGTATGTACATTACGTATGTATGTACGTTACGTATGTATGTACGTTACGTATGTATGTACGTTACGTATGTATGTACATTACGTATGTACGTAACACACGTATGTACATTACGTATGTATGTACACATGCCGTATGTATGTACGTTACGTATGTATGTACACATGCCGTATGTATGTACGTAACGCACGTATGTACACATGCCGGGCGAGGGTAGTTAACATCTTCTTTTCTCCACCATCACAACCGCCAGCTTGAGCCGCACTAATCGCGTACGGGAGTTGACGATTGTGGGCCCGGTAGCAACACTCTCTCGATCAAACCGAGCCATTTCTGCCGCCGCAATGTGCGCGTGTGCGTATTGAACTTATTTGCACCGTACGGAGACAACCGTGGATACATTGGAGGTGCGGGGAGGGGGGGGGGGTCAAATTAAACATGAAAAGCAGTTCTAAAGAAATTCGTTTTCGATGTAGTAGAATGTATTGTAGAGTACAATGTAGTGTGTGTGGTGTGTGTAGTTATAGTTTAGTATGTACTCGCTTTACTACCCGGCTTCGCCCGAGACTTGGATTTTTGTCTTGGATTAATTCACGGCCGACGCGGAGAGGGTTGGGGGGGGGATGCGTGACGTCAGCAGGCACACCGCGTGACGCTGCCGCATGCGGGTGACGTCACAGATGTGCCGTGCAAAATATATCCATTATTGCGCCCCCCCCCCCCCCAAAATACAAAAGTCTATTTTTATACGTTTTGCATCGTGTACTGTCTGGAAGCTACCCGCATGCCAAATTTCAAGTGTGATGCATGTTGGGAAGTATGCTAAACATTTCCAACAGACACACACATTCACAAATTTCCCTTGTATATATATGTAGAAGATGTAGAACTTCTTTCGCACCGCAAGTAGCCAACCGTGCTCAATCGGAGGTGCGGGCGGAAGGACAACAAACTATAATCATCATCATCATCAATCATATCGGCAACTATCAATCCCATCGCTGGGATGAAACGCTCGCCCCCCAACCCCCACACCGAGGCGTCGGCATTACTGCAAAGCCTCTCGTCCACTTGGGATGGGCGGCGGGGGGAGGGATGTTAAATAAAAATATTCCCGGAGAGGTTTCGCTCGACACAAAAAACCCACGTGCTCCTGGCCCTGCCCCCCCTCTTTGCCTCAAAGAGGGGGGGCAAAAAACCCCCGTGAGATTGCAAGCCCTAACCCAGTGGTTCTAAACCTTTACTGCAGCCTTGCAAACTCCCTTTGGTGCCCAATCATTAACAACAATGTAAAACACTCTTTGGTTCTTTCGGTAAAGTCACATAGGTGAAAACAAATAAATAATCTAATGAAAACTATCACATTTTTTCACCTGCGTGACTTTACCGAAAGAACCAAAGAGTATGGATCCTTGCAGTTACGAAAACTTCAAATCTAGAACAATGTAAAATGTTAACACAGAGGGTTTGACGGAACAAAGTAAGTTGTAACCTACGTGGCCGTGGCTTCCCTTGTGTTTCGATGATTCACCTTCTAAAAAAAAAAATCTGGCCGTGTCTCGCCACCCCCCAGAAAGGGCATCTCGCACCCGCCGCCATGGGCTGCGTGCACCCCATGTGAAGAACCACTGCCGAAGTTTTCTCAAGCTTTGCCGTGTCTCTCTCTCCCTCTCGGTTCCTCCTCGTGCTCAATCCACGCTGTCGCTCTCCACCCTCCTTCACTGGAACAAACTTGCCCCTCCGCATTAAGCAGTCACCTTCGCTCACTAATTTTCCGCTGCTCACTCAAAACTCACTTCTTGTTACCCCCAGAACACCCCACGACCCTCCGCCCTTAATCTCCCCCTCGTAACGACCACCACCATTCCTGGGTTCACCCCTTCATAATCTCATTACACGGCTATCACTCATCAACCCCCATTCATTCAATCCATTCATCATCATTTACCGTCATCAATTTCAATTTTCACCAAATTCACGCATCATCACAGATTTGCACCCCCCCCCCCTCCCATTGTTTCATCTATTTCGTTCACCTCACCTCCACCGTTACATTCACACACACACTGTTGTTGTACCGTTGTTAATTCTCTGTAAAGCGCCTTAAGGCGCTCGATAAAATGCGTTAAGAGTCGCTCGTGCCAAGGAAAACCTCCACCCATATAGTGCATTGTACGTACAACTGGGGCGGAGGAGTGGTGGGGCAGCGGTTAGTCGCGCTGCGCTACGGAATCTGGAACCTGCCGAGTGGGGACATCCCGCTCCCCATCTCCAAGGTGGACATCCTCCGGGAAGCGCTCCCACCCTTGGCTGCCACTCCGGGGTTAGTCTCGAGTGCCGGCGCACTGTCCCTCCAGACCGTGGACGAATTGTCCTGCACAAGGCCGCTAACTTTTGCTCGTAAATATATCGCGTCTTTGACCCTCTTCCGTGTCTGAGACGTTTGACGTCTGCTGCAAGTTTCAGGGTGGATGTGTGCGTCCCCGGTTCACCCGCTGAATCTCGGAACATGCGAGCGGCTTGGGCGTTAATTTTATTTAGAGGCGTAGTAGTAGTGGTATTAGTTGTGGTGGTAGTAGTGGTATTAGTTGTGGTGGTAGTAGTAGTGGTATTAGTTGTGGTGGTAGTAGTAGTGGTATTAGTTGTGGTGGTAGTAGTAGTGGTATTAGTTGTGGTGGTAGTAGTAGTGGTATTAGTTGTGGTGGTAGTAGTAGTGGTATTAGTTATGGTGGTAGTAGTAGTGGTATTAGTTATGGTGGTAGTAGTAGTGGTATTAGTTATGGTGGTAGTAGTAGTGGTATTAGTTGTGGTGGTAGTAGTAGTGGTATTAGTTATGGTGGTAGTAGTAGTGGTATTAGTTATGGTGGTAGTAGTAGTGGTATTAGTTATGGTGGTAGTAGTAGTGGTATTAGTTGTGGTGGTAGTAGTAGTGGTATTAGTTGTGGTGGTAGTAGTAGTAGCGCCCTCCCGCATGGCCTTGTGGGAGCTTCCGTACCGGCGAAGTGAGCTAAATTCAGTTTTTATTCCTATTCTATTCCGATGAAGTACTATTCCCATTCACGTCATCGGAAAGGATTAATCTGTTCCCTAATCTATGGTGATATGTTAACTGCCTCGCCTGGAATTCAGGAGGTTGTGGGTTTATTCCCAACCTCGATGCCTGTATATTTTGGAGTTTGCGGTGTCTCTCCTCGTGGTCACATGGATTTTTCTCCCTTCACGTTTAGAAACATGAATTCAGAGTGTTGGACTGATAGAAATTTCCACACCAGAGGCCATATCGTTAAGCTATCATTTGTGATAGCCAGGACACTTATGAAAAAGAGCTATTAGGCTCAGTGGGCCTTAACTGGTCAAATAAAAATATTAAAAACAGTAATAGGACGTGATCCAGTCTGTCAATATCCTTCCAAGCACGCACCTCTGCACTCTTCTTTGCATTTTGTTGAGAGGGATAATTTTCTGATTTTATCGCTGCAAACGGCTTTCACGACAAGCGAGGTTCTGGAAACGTCATGTGGTGCAGACTCACTCCGTAGACGGAACACCGCAGTCAAGAGGCAACGGCGTTCTTTTTGCTCAAACTCGAGTGAAGCAGCACTCATCCCCTCTCGCAGATCTCGAGTCGACAGTGGAAATTTCATATTCCTACGGTGCGCTCTCTCTACCATAACACCAATGATGAACTCATCAACTCCTATAAAACGGTGTGTGCATATGCTGCCAAGGATAGGGCTGACCATACTCCGTAATATCTGTGTGATGTTATGACCTTAATAGGTGCTCGCTAACAGCACTTGTCCCTACAGTGTAAGGCTAATATGGGGGGGGAGGGGGAGGGATTTATGTTTTGTGTATGTGTGTGTGTACACGAACACGTGTGTGTGTGTGTATATAACTGTGGGAGTTCGACAACGATCCCCAGTGTAGCCTGTAACAGACTGTCGGGGCTAAGTGCTGTTAGCGAGTAGCAGCAGCAGCACCTATGAAGGCCGCCACGGCACACGAGGGGGTGGGTGGCCAATACCACGCCCGGCTGCCTTTGTCTCCCCCGTGGCGATGTTTACTACACACCGCACTTGGCACCGTAACTCCTGTCAGAATACGAATATTGGTTCATACTGGCGCAATCCGACGCGCTACAAAGCTCAGGACCAGTTCAGATAATCTGTCACCGGCGTTGGCCGTGAGCGGGAATCGAACTCGGGTCGGGGTTCGTGGCGCAGCGCGGCGTTAACCGCTGCGCCACCGCTCCCCATGCACTGGTATGCATTTGTTAGCAGCGCCGCATACAC